TTCTTCAAAAGACACCATTAAGAAAAAAAAAATTTTAAGTCACAAACTGGGAGAATATAACTACCAGTCATATTTACGATAAGAGACTTCTATCTCAGATATATAAAAAACTCTTACAAATCAATAAGACAACCCAATTAAAAATGGGCAAAATATCTGAATAGACATTTCACATATGATATACATGATGCTAGTAAACACACGAAAAGATGCTTATTGTTAGTAGTTATTATAGAACTATAAATGAAAATTCATTAGGATGTCTATAAGCAAAAAATGAACAATATCAATTATGACCAAGTATGTTGGAACTAGAACTCATGCACTCTGGAAAACAGTTTGCAGGTTCCTTAAAATGTTAAACGTTGACTTTCATACCACCCACCAGTTCTACTCTTAGAAATCTTCTCAAGAGAAATGAAAATACATGTTCATGCAATAACTTACATACAAATATTCACGGCAGCATTATTTATAGTAGTTCTAACCTGGAACAATCCAAATGTCCATCAACTTGTGAAAGGATAAACAAAAAGTAGTACATCCATACAATGAAACACTACTGGACGATAAAAAAAGAATGATGTAATGATACATTCTACAACACATAGTGATCTCAAAGACATTATGCTAAGTAAAAAAAATCAGTCATAAAAGACTATACATTGTATCATTTCTTTTATATAAAACTTCCAGAAATATTTATCTAGAGACAGCAAAAGTAGATTAGTGCCTGGGGCTAGGCTGGCAGTGGGGATTGGCTATAAACTCCATGAGGGACCTTTGTGGAATGATGGAAATGTTTCAAAACTGGATTATGATAATGGTTGCACAACTTTATACTTTACTAAAAATATCTGAATGGATGAATGGACTTTACAATAAGTAAACAATACTTCAATAAATGCTTTAATTTAGAGTGCTGAGTGGCTATGTCCCTCAGCACTAGCCAATACCTACTTTTAATCTTTTTTTAAACCAGATTGGTTATTTAAAAAAAATTACATCTCATTATTCTTAATAGTGTACATTTCTTTGATTTCTAGTAAAACTAACATTTGTGTCTACTTAGTCTTCGTTATTTTCCTATAAAGATATACATCTTTTCCATAAGGAAATGTGGGATGCTATCTTTTTAAAATAGCAAACCTTTTTTCAGTATATGTGGTACAAACATTTATTCCCAGTTTTTCATAAATTTAAAATTTTTGTTAACAGTTTTTTTTTTGCCATCTTGAAATATTCATTTTCATGTAGCCAAATTTATCTGTGTTTTCATTTACAGTTTCTGTTTTTGGTGTTATGACAAGTAATATTCTTTTCAAAATTAACTATCACAAAACTCGATCACTGTTAGTTAAGCATCCCCTGTGCTAATAAGTCCAATGCCACTGCTACTGGGCCTTCCATTTCAAGGAAACAGATAAAAATCTAATTTCGAATTTCAAACCTAGAGGCAGATGGGCTTTCCTTCCTTAAATCTTTATTTTAAGTGTCAAGAGACATGACCGTTTACATGCCAAATTCATGGAAAATTGCTTCATTAGAGAATTTCTGATGTGATACGTTAGACATTTAAAATAGTTCTAGTGATAAGGAACTGGAAACTATTAACTAAAAGAAAGATGTAAAAATGTATTTCCTGTTGCTAATCATGCCAGGACTGTGATTCTAGGTCTTGTTGTCTGATGTCTTTGTAGAATATCAAATCATCACATAACAACATGACCACTGTGGGCATTTGTGGATGTCTGACCAGAACAGTCTAGAGCTCAGTCACTCATTGTCTCACTACCACCTGAGTCCATGAATGTTATCATTTCCTTTGTAATTCCACTCATCCACCACCCGTTACCTGATACAGGAAACTCACCTTTATTTACATCTCACAAACTTAGAGATTAATATGCACTGAAGAACTCTTCACTAAGTGCTGTATTACTTCACAAAATACTATAGTATTTATAAGAAACCATTTGACTTAATGTAGCTATGATTATCACACACAAAGACACACATGAAACTTACAAAGAAATGTCATGAGAACATTTTAATATTAATGCAGATGGTATTACAGCCCTGAAGTTGCATAACTGAGGGCTGGTCATGTTAAGATACAATCAGGAGACACATCTGAATACTGGGTAACCAAAAATGACTCTGACTTCTTCTTTGTATATTTGAGTTATACCCACACTTTTAAGGCCAGCCCAAAGTTAACTTTCTTTCCTTATCTTTCCTACTGCTTGTGGAATCTATAACTACACATTCTGGAACATATACACAGTCTTATGTTATTCAACTGTTTTGTGCCTGCTAGTCTTACCACCTTATTAAACACAAGCTCCAAGAAGGCAAAAACAGTATGTTCCTGTAGCATTAAAACAGGGCTAGGATTCCAGATGTTTTCATTGACTTCATCTGTCCCACTTCTTGCTCTGCAGAACAACTTACTTAAATGCTCATTAAATAACATTTCTTGATTTCTAGGAAAAGTTGATCCATCGGGCTACGAAGGCAAAAAAAAAAAAAAAAAGTACTATGGGGACATTTTAAAAGTTTCGTAGAGCAGACAGTTCTTTAGTCAAGAAAAATATTGTGTAGTATGTAAATGCTTTGGCAATTACCCCAGCTTTAAAGATGTTGAAGAGCTATGCATGGATTGTCTCCAATTCTTTTTTGTATCTAAGCAGGCTTTACCTAATGACAGTAGTTTCTTGCATAAGTTCCACTGAACTTTAGGATTCCATGAGGCTGCTCCAATATTTGACTGACAGATGGGCTGGCAATGATCACTGTGTTTAATCTGAGGTTGTTCTTGCTCAGGTGCCAACTGAGGTCTTTAGGCTTTAGCTATAAACGGAAAGCCTTCCTATTAATCAAGGAGAAGTTTTCCATCACTGGAGAACACTCTGATGTCCTGAAGGATGACACATAGGTGCCTGTACAGAATTTAGCCCCTAGTCTTAGGCTTACTGGCTAGCTTATGCATGGGGGTTCCCTGCCTTCCAAAGAAATAAAACCATAATTGTTATTTTAGTGCTCTTTTCTTCTTCCCTCCCTCCCCTTGAGAGAGGTAGACAGTTCCCCTATAAGAATAATGGTTTCAGCAACTCTGGCCCTTGAATAAACAGCTATGAAGGGTTCCATCATCAGGGTCCATTATATATAAAGTGTGCACACCTAACCTACTGTTTATGTAAACATGTTAATAATTCCCAGGAAAAAAAGATGGCCCCCAGCTCACTTACTCTGTAACCCATATCTTGATTAGTTCCTTTATGGGAAAGCCTCTACTAGCATTCCTAACCCATCATAAACCCTCAGTCAAAATGATGACAATGGTGACATCATTTAATATTCTAATTCTAGTAAAACAGGGCTAGGAAATACTTTCATAAAATGTAAGTTTAAATAATAAATCTCAAGCATTAGTCTTCTTAATAGGCCATCTGTCTTCTTACACTGGGAGTACATTTGGATTTCCTAAACTCCTCTTGACCCACCTTTTCCTAAATGAGTACATAATGGGTGAGAATAAGACTTTGGCATCTATAGTATCCGATCAAATCTTTACTAGTAGTTATTGGTTGGTGAGATGCAGGACAATTTATTTCTTTAAGTCTCAGTTGAATGGGGATAACACTGCTCACGGTGTTTTGAGAATTAAATGAGATAATGCAAGTCAAATTCTGCATAGCGTGTTGTGCACACAGTATGTGCACAACAAACTAAGAGTTTTAAACACTTTCAATTACTATTATTTTTAAAAAATGGAGTAGGAAGCAAGTTTCCACCCAATTCTCAGTAATAACATAAGGGAAAAGCTTCTGAGTTTTTTAAACTTCAGTATTTTAAAGTAATGCAGTCACTCACACACACAAATTAGTCCATGGTCTTTGATAAAACAGGATATTAGGTATAATTTTCCTTCGAACTGAATACCCACACTCGTTGACACAGTTGGAAACACTGAGGCTGGCGGTGGGAGGATGCAAAGCACTTGCTCAGGAACCAGCCATCACACATTGGTTTCTCAGGGAGGAGGAAAGCCTTCCCTTCCTTCCCTGGGAAAGTCGCAGCCCCACCCCGAGGCAGATTTGTGTCTCGAAACGTGGTAGTCGGCGTCCGGGGCCTGCGCAGAAGCGGACAGTCAGCAAGGGGTGGAAGATGGGACAAAAATGACTCCAGTTTGCTTTACACGCAGAGGAGCGGACAGCGCACGGACCCCGCCTTCCCCAACTGAGTGTGGGTTCCAGTCACTGGGGAGGACCTGTTGGCCCCCTGACCTTGGACGAGCCATATTGGATACTGCGGCGCTGTCCCGCCTTCCACGCTGCCAACTCCGCTGCTCTCGCCGTGAAGCGCGGGTAGGTCCAAGCCGCCAGGCCCCGCCTCGCCGGCCCCAGTCCTGATTGACACTGGAGTTGGTACATACGGGTCTGCCGCGGAGGCGAGCAGGAGGGTGAGCGCTATTTTAAACATGGCTTTCTGTCTCCCTTAGCCTCGGAGCCACCACGGCGGCGCAGCCAGCCACAAGCGCAGCCAGCCGCGGGCGCAGCCGCATGGGAATAATCCCAACATCTGCCCGATTTATTTTCTTCCCCCTCCCTATGTTTGGACGTGTTTTTCTCCCCTCTCTGTTTTTCCTTCACACTAATTCGCTACCTGGCAGTTTGCAAAGAGGAAACTCCCCTTCGGAATGGAAAGCCGCTTTTGCGTCTTGTTGTACGGGGAAACCATTCCAGCAAGAATGAGTTCAAAAAGAGGGGAAACCGCGTCACTGGAGAGAAAGTAACATTCAGAGATCGACGAGGACAGAGGGAGGGGGAGAGGGAGAGAGGGATGTCTGCAACAGGCATCTAAAAACAAGTGTGGAGGAGCAGAGATTCCCAGTCCCCCGGTTACTACCGCGCGCGTTCTGCGCAAGCCATTGCAATGCCAGGATTCACTGTAAGCACAATTTTAAGGCCTTTTAAATCTTTTTTGGTAAGACTTACCTTTCTCTTCGGCATAATGACTATGTCGGTGAAGCAAAAAGTAAAGCAACCGGCTGGAACTGCTGGCGCTGCCGCTGGATGCTGCCTCTGCTGCTGCAGCTGCTCACACGCAGGGCACGGCGTAGCCCGGCCTCTTCGACCTGCACCTCCGCGGCTCCCTCCGGGGGCCCTCTGCTCGCCTCCCTGCTGCTCCAATGAGGAGCCCCGCCACCCGGCCGCGAGGCCCCATTGGCCGAGGCAACGTTCTAAATTCCACGAGGGCACGCCCACCTCCGCGCGCGGTACGCGCTGTTGTAGTTTCCACTTCACCGAAAAATCTGCCTGGCGACTGAGCATGCCCAGTTCAACTAGCAGCCCCCAGGCCACACACTCCTGAAGGTTCATTGTTTCTCTGCTCTCTCTTGGAGATTGTAAGAGTAAGAACAGTGTGTGCCTTCATAGGAAGGAAAAAGTGTAACAATGAACACGTAAACTTTATAATGTAAGTAGATACACACCAGGTACTTTATACATTTCCTACCCATAAAGACTTTTAATGAGTGTTACATGATGGGGACCTGTAAAGAGTGGGAAGGTACTCTGTTCTGGAAGAGCGTGGCAACCTCTAAAGGTCTCAGTTTCCTCTTCTAGATATGCAGTGACAGCAGTCCCTAAAATAACTTAGCTCTAATTTTCTAAAATATGTGATTATAAATCACTCACTAATAAGGCCAACTTCAAACTAGATGTGAAGAGGAATAGAACATGTTTATTATGGAAATTAGGAAAAGAAAGAACAAGATAAAAACTGATTGTTTTATATTTGAGACATATATTTGAATCACACCTGTCATGTTACACCTTATACATAATGTTTCTTAACGTTCTGCAAGGCATAAAATGAGCATTGCAAAAATACTTCTGAATTCATTTTATGAGACCAGATTTACTCTGCTATCAAAACCAGTGAAAGACTTCAAAAGAAAAGAGAGTTACAGACCAATATCTCTCATAAAATAGACATAAGAGTCATGAACAAAATTTTAGTAAATGAAACTCAACAACATTTAAAGGGACAATGCATCATGACCTGTGGGGCTTATCTTGGGAATGCAAAGTTGCTTTTTTAATATCTGAGAATCAATCGATATAATTTTCAGAATTAATAGAATAAAGGGGGAAAACAATCATTTTAGCAGATGCATGGAAAGTGCTACTTGAATGGGTAAGCTAATTGTGATGAACACATACAGTGGAATACTACTCAGCAATAAAAAGGAATAAATTTTCCTACATGGGTGAATATCAGAAACAAAATTCTGCATGAAAGATGTCAACTACAAAAGATCACAATGAATGACCTCATTCATATGAAATTATAGAAAAAGCAAAATTGGGCAAAGTTAGTTTCAGAATCAGCAGGCAAAGCTCACATCTGTCGAAGCCTTTTATAAATATGGCTAAATCCACTTTGGTAACACGGAGGCTGCAAATATGTATTAAAAATATCTTCAAAGAATGAAGTTTAATATTTCACTTTTTCTTTAGTAATTTTCAGAATAAATTAATTGATCTAGCATACCCCAGAGGTAGTTAATGACTTTCTTTTTTGGAACATCTTTATGAACTCATGGATTTTTATATATTTGGTGTGCATCAGTGTATTGCTATCATTATTATTACCTTTTTAATGCTCATGTTACCATATCTTTAACCAATGCATGCCTCTTCAAATTAGTGCCTGTGTTCTTTTGACAGGATCCCAACTATTTTTGATAGATTCCCTGTTCTCAGACATTCAGTGAATGACAATAGTATACTCAAACAAACTAAGATAAAAACCAGTTGCCTAGAGCTAGATAAAAGTTTACAAGTTAATAATTTTACCATTAAAATAATATTTATAATGAAGATTTCTTGCAAGAGATTAGTCTGCCAAGTGCTTGATAGTTAAAAAAAGAAAAAGTCAGTGAAAATATTTTTAATAAGATATGTGTGAGAAAGATACTGAGTAGCACTTGCAATCTGGATGGCTATGTTTCTTTATGGAGACGGAAAAGTGCCACATCAAAGGTAGTGGCTTCTTTGTTAATTTTTTTCAAAACCAAACAGTCCGATCAACAACAGCAAACAAAATTGTAAATGTTTTTGCTGCACATAATAAAAATTATCCAATGAAACTGAAGCTTGCTTGTTGGATAATGAAAGTTTACTGTGGGGACCTTGAGTCCTTGGAACCTTTAGTTCCTTTACAAGTTATGAAAATAACAGTTTTGGTTGAAAAACAACAGCATCGCTTATCTTTCCTTTGATGTAGATTGCACCTGTCTGAGCACTACTCTAGGAAATGAAGTGTTCTCCTTTGTACCTTGAGTAGCCTTCAGGATCTGGGAAAGTCAACACAAACCTCTACTGGTGGCCCTGGAGGTAAGAGGAGTAGGCAAAGTGAATGATTTGGCGGATACCTAGAATTCTAGGCTAAGAGATAAAGACATCTGGGCAGAAATGAGCATGTCACATACAAGACAGTGAGGAGGTCACGCTGGTAAGAAGTACAGACTCATTTATTTATTCCATTGAGCATTTCTACTACTTTGGAATATCAGCCTCTAAGACAGTAAAAGTAGGATGCATATGCTATAACTAAGATAGACATGGATAAATTGAGTTACTAAGAAAGAAAGAAGAAAAAAATAGTGAACAAACTTGTTTTCCAATTCCAGCTCCTCTCCTCTTTTTTCCTACTCAAAACTATTGGAACTGTACACCTACTCCACATATTTCAAACAGCAGAGCAAAAGCATTTATAGTGTCATGACTATCATTAAGGAAGAGAAAGAGACAGAGAGAGACATTGACAGACACAAACACACACACATACACAGAGTGAGAAAGAATGAGAGAGAGAGAGAAAGAAAGAGAGAAGGGAAGGATACGAAAAGCAAAGAAAGGGCCAAGCAAAGAAAATGTCAAGAGTGTATTTCACATGGTAAAGGCAAATAATCTTTCATAAGATAATTGTTTCTATATGTGCTCATATAAACACATGAAGAACACATACATGTATGTGTGTGCATTGGATTGTGACATGAAATATATATTTTAGTATGGTGTTGATCAAAAAAATTGAATGCCACTGCCAATGAATCTTGTGGATCTTTGGCATTCCAAAAAATGCTTAATATTAAAATTGCTTTAGAGGTAGGATCTCAGTCTGCTGCCCCAGGCTGGCATGCAGTGGCACAATCATAGCTCACTGAACCTCAGACTGCTGGGCTAAAGAGATCCTTCTGCCTCAGCCCCCTGAGTAGCCATGTAAGCCACCACACCAGGCTTGAGAGGAAGTTTTCAAAGGAGAGAATAATTTGCAAATCACCTCCCTTTTGATTCTCTTTTCCTCCTTTAGGCACACATAGACGGGCTCCCTTAGGCTTTTGCTGTAAGTAATGACAAATTACTAGAGAGGTCAGATCTAGAATCTACATATTGTTGCTTCTGATAGTTGCAACTGTACATCTACTTTGCATTTTTCAGACAGCAGGACAAAAAAAATGATAGTCATGACTCTTGTTAAGGAAAAGAGACAAAAACATAGAGACAGAAACATAGACACACACACACACACAAACACAGACAGACAGAGGGAGAGACAGAGGGATAAAGGAAGAGAGGAGAAAAGTGAAAATGATAGTGTGTTGCTTCTAATAGTTTGTAATTCCAGATTAAGTTACTATTCTTCCATAAATAGGCCAAAAAAATTACACAGTGAAGAATTCAGGTGTGTAACAAAACAACATCAAAAATAACAAATAAGAGGTGGCAAAAGGATATTTTGTTTGTATTTTCTAGTCAAATCTCTACTTTGATTGGGTGCTAACTTTTGAAGAGCCCAAGGTTAGTTTTTACAAAACAAGGAGAGTCCAAGAGCCAATGGTCCCAAATCCAATAAGCAGCCTGATAACAGTGCAGATCCCCAGGCCACAACCCCATGGTATTAAATGGCTAGGCTTGGGAATCTGCATTTTCAAATGAGCTTTTCATGTGTTGATTACACTATAATTTGGGAATTCTAGACTAGGCCCTTGCTCTCAACAAATATTTGCTGAAGGCTGCTACTTAGATTCTGATGACAGATATCTACAAAAGCTTTTGGACTTCTTAACACACTTGTGGAGCAGGAGCATAATTCTGTGAGTGAAACTTGCCCTGCAGACCTCACCTTGTGCTTTTGCTCTATCTCAGTTTTGCTGGGCACAGCCTGCTTACTTCACATTCTTCCTCTTCTCTAGTTGCAAGAAACCTAAAGAATGATTAAAAACTCCACACATCCGGATACCTAGAAAAGTCCATTCTTCTTCCCAGGCAGCCCTCTAGGCAGCTCCTTTGGCCCACATGAAATGAAAATTCCTGACCCCAAATCCTCAAAGGGAACATACCTTGGCCAAAGCCCCACAAGCCACACCCTTTCAAGGCTAAATGTTAGTGATTACATAAGCATATCTCAACCATATTAATAACAAGAGGAGTCAGGGTATTCTGTGACCTTCCAAGGAACTCACTCTTTGTTTTCCCAGCCTTAGATCAAATTAATATTTGTGAAGATTCTTTACCCCAGGTATGTTTTACACAGTTTTCCCACCGCTGGTACTTTTCAGGTTCAATCTCTTTGGTATTTACCTCTCCTTCTTGCTCCTGCTGCTTAAGCTCACAGGAGTGTGATTAATTTGCTCTTTATAGCTACCAAATGACTATTTGGGGATGAATTAGATATGATCAGTGGCTAGAACCAGGGATTGGACCACACTGGTTTAGCCATTCCTTTCTGTCAGATTGTTAGCATGGCTGGTGCCAAGAGCCATCTAGGCTCAAGGAGGTGAAAAGGTTAAGGGAAGGAAATCCCCAAAGTTCATAGTGAGGACACAGCAAAGTAAGGACTCCATCCCATCCCATTAGGTAAAAAGCCACACGCTGCAAGGTGCCAAAAACCAGTTAGTGGTTGTTGCAGAGCCCTCCAACTGAATTGCACATTCTCAGTGCCAATACACTCTCGAATACAACCACACCCTCTTCTCTAAGCTATCAATTTTGACTACCCATTTTTTGTGTCTTCTACATTTTCTTCAAATCTCAGAATCCCTGGGAGCTTGTAAAGAACATCCCTGTCACTACTTCCAAGGGTCCTGCCTTTCAGAGATACCATACCATTTTCCTTTTCTCAACGAAAGCAAGAAAATGCTGGTTTGGGGAAATGAGAATCTAATGAATCATTCTGAAAACTACCATATAGCAACTGGAGATGATTTTCAGGTTGGTTTGGTTAATAACTATTATAGTTCTCAAGCACTAAGAAAGCGTTAGCCAATAAAATGAGTTTGGCCAGGTCACAATGAATTCTAGCCACCAGGCAATAAATTTTTGTCCAGGAGTGGAAAACTAGCCTGTAAATGTGCCATAATCTTCAAGGCTGCTTATCTGCATAGGGTTTTTGTTGTTTTTAAAGCATAGGATTTTGCTACTCCTACAAAAAATCTCTCATCCTTTTCCACCTTCTCATTCCCATTCCCACTTCTGCTCTCTGGAATTGTAAGCAAATGGATTCTTTTTCTCCCCCCATGACTAAATAATCCAATTTACTTCTTAACATGTCAAAAAAATTTTTAAGTTTTAACCATTTTAAAAATAAATGCTCATCAAAAAGTTTGGAATTTGCAGTCAAAAGCATGAATTCAAATCTCAAGCTACTGAGCTACCACCACACTACTCAACCTCTTTGAATCCTGGTTTCCTTATTGTAAAATGAAAAAAATAATGTCTAGTCAAGGTAGATATTGCTAGTTACCTGCCCAATATTCACGCTAGCTTTCTTCTTACTAACAGAATTCTGATTTGGGCAATAGGCCTGGTCAAAACAAAACAAAACAATCTTCAGTTCCTCCAACTCCCTGGCAGATAGAGGTTGCTATGTGACACCTTTGGGGCTAATGAAATGTATGCGGAAGTCACAAGGTGGTTGTTTAAACACCGCCAAATAACAGGGCAAACCTAGCCAGGCAACTAGCTGCCTTGTGCCTTTGTTCTTTCTCTCCTTTGATCCTGGAAGTTACTAACAGTGTCCGGAAGTAGAACAGCCGTCTATGTCCAAAAAGAGAAGGGTCACAGTTAAGGATGAAAGAGCACAAAGGCAGGCCTTGAGGTCTCTGTAGTGGCCCCAGATTGCCCAGCTT